CGCCAGGGTAAGCATCACTTATTCATGTAAAATTAATTTATTTATGTCTGACTTTAACTGCATCTCATACTGTATTACGGCGTGAGCGCAACGGCGACAACTTAAGATCGATGCGTGAGCAGCCTGAGAGGTCGGGTGTTTAATCTGAACCCTTAAAACCTCCAGCAGGCTACGTTGCACTATTGATGTGTTAGCGCGTGGCGCTAACAACTTAGCGACGTGACATGTCTCGGAGAAAGCGTAAAAACATGTTGGACGCTTCTTCTGAAGCGGGAAAATAACACCTCTTCTTAAGCAGAGCACGACGGCGCCTCCGAGCCGGTACCGGACTGAGCTCGATACCATTGACCCAGCACAGCCACTGGGTCGTTGGAGCTGCCCCGTGACTGCCTGATGGAAAACCAGCAGGTTTTATCAGACTCGTAGTTTCTTGTTTTTGCTGGGGACCCCCTGTATTTTACCACTCCCTCCTGCAGTCTTCCCCTATTAAAATTTAAAATGATTCTGTAAATTCCGTGTATCAATAGAAAAAATCTCTGCCTCTGCCAGCTGCAGTAAATGTAGACTCCAAATAATAAGAGGTGCATTCATCTGTGTATCTCCTTTGACCCGCATTAGTGATATTTTCAGCACCAGAACAGTGAAGCAAAGAAAGATTCCTGAGTTTGTTAGTAATTTTATTCATTAGGTGCATCTAACCTGTTCTATTTTTCTCTGAAATGATATCAAATCAGTGCTTCTATGGGTTGTCTCCATTCTGCACTGGAAAATTTTACTTTATTTAGAGACGTGTCATAATTTCTCCCCAAGTTAACTCCAGTTGTAGTTAGGTTGCTACCTCCGTTAGCTTAGCTCCCACCTCCGCGTTAGCTTTGGGCTAGCTTCAGGTTAGCTTGTAGCTAGTTCGACCGGGTGTCGTCAGTTGATCCCAGCCTTACAGCCCCACCCTCAGCTCCACCTCTCTTCCCTTTTGTGGAATTGTCTGGGCTTGACGGAACCTGTGACACGGTCAAAATGGCGGTGGTGGCCACCTCCCATTTATCTTCAAAAATGTGTTATTGGATCTATGGAAACCCATTGTCCAATATTTATATGTCGATGGTCAGACAGCTGGACATAAAAAAACTCTTGAATCAAGATCAGTGAATAACACAAGGATTGTAGGAGAAACCTAATTAAATTTGGGAGTTCTTGTGGCATGGTTCCACAGTAGGTATAGGGGACACTTTCTTCCTGTTCAAGAGCTTTTGTCACTTCATAAAAAAATAATAAATTCAATGGGTACAAGTTAAACTAAAACATGGATACTACATGCTTTCTGCATCTGTCGTATTTGAAATCATATAATCCTCAAAGATTTAACTTAAAAAGAAAATGGCTAGATGCAACAATCATTAACAGAAAACAATAGCCCATAATAAATTTCTGTTGCTAATAACCTAAACTGTATTTTTGAGACCAAAAGGAAAAAAAAAATCAACCCAGCAAATCCAGGAAATTATACATATCCTTTTTTTAAAAAAGGGCAAATGTCAGAACTATAAAAGGTACAGATCTTTTTTCTATTTTCAATATCTAATCATATATTTACGTATTTGTGTCACGGTCAGGATAGAGGAGGCGGAAACCAAAATGCAGAACCCAGAACGACTCAAGGCAGGAGAAGTCTTCAAAAGAAAATATTTTATTTTAAAGGAGGCACAAAAGAAACGAACCAAACTTAATCTTACCAACAAAAAAAAAAACTGAAAACTAATTCGTGAGCACGGATTAGGAAGACACGAGGAGGACAGAAACACGCTGATGAATGCAATGAACCAAACAAACACAGAGTGACAAGACAAGGCTTATAAACACAGAGGGAGGTAATCAGGGAAGCAGGTGACAGGTGTGAGGAGTGTGAGCTGAGGAGAAACTGGTGGAACCAATTAACTAAATGGGAAGGGAACGAGCTTGGCAGGAGGGTAGATGAACATTAACCTATAACACATGGATCTAACTAAACCTAAAAGACAGAGGGCAAAAACAAACCATTTTTAACCAGATGGGTGAGGAGAACTTATCTAAAGACAACTAGGAAAACCAACGAGTGACTAGGAGGACACAAGAGGAGAGCCTGGAGTGGGAACTGGAGGGGGCTGGGGAACAAAGGGACACAGAACATGACAATTTGTTGAGCAGGTTAAAAAAGCAATACATTTTTTAATTTTTTTCAGTTTTGAAATAAAATCAAATAAAAAACTTCAAATTTTTATTGCTGGTGAAAACTTTCAGTTAGAGATGTTTGATAGCAGCTTATCTTTTTTTTATTTGTCAATATCAGATACAAGTTATAGTCTAACTATATATAACTGCTGAATTCCCCAATGTGGGATCAGTAAGTTCTATTCTATTCTATTCTATTCTATTCTATTATATTCTATTCTATTCTACAACTAATAATTACAGGTACCAATATATGCACCACCCACCCAAGTAACTAACATTGTGTACGTATCTCCAAGTCGCTCAAGAAATTCATGTACATTAAAGTTAAAGTTCTGTTAGTTATCATCATGCCCGGGTGAAATGACATCTCAGCGTTTCACCCATCACCATGAGCAGCTATGAGCTGTAGCAGTGTCCACTATGTGGTGGAGTGTCCCATTTTTAAAGTTTTTGGTGTGACCCAGCCATGGATTTGAACCCCAATCTCCCAGTCCCAGGGCAATCACTCATACTTCTGGGCTACTGAAAAGGTTAACATTTGCATGGCATGTAAAAGTGTAAAACTAATAGTGAATACTACATTTTAATATTACATTTAATGCCAATATCAGCTGATGATGTCAAACGTCCCTTCTTTCAAGGTGATGATTTTGACTGGTGCTGCAAAAAGTGGTTAATTCTGCATTCATACACCAAAATAAACATTATATCTCTACTAATTAAAAGTTTTAATCAAGTTTACCAAAAACAATAAATGCCATGAAATGGGGAAAGAACTTGGCTGGATCTTGGTACCTACAAACACACACATACACACACACACACACACACACACACACACACACATGCACAGTATTCAGGATATGAGGATGGGCCACCTGGGGTGAATCAATTACGAGCTTTGCTGTCAAATTGGAGGCCCTGCAGAGGGCACCATGACAATATCAGCAGCAGCCTGTGAAAAGCTGCCACTAAATCAGCTTTCTGTGCACGAAGATAGAGCTGGCAATGGGGGAGCTGGAGCTGGAGGTGGGGGGTCCATTGAGGACAACCGAGCAGATGTCCTTTTTTGTCTGAGGGAATAAATACTGATGTTAATATAGCTCTTTGGGCTTATCAGGAACACCAGCACTCGGGCCACTTTCCATCATTTGCACAATTGTCCTATCCCCGTGTCTCAGTTTTACATTTTATGGCTCTCCCAATGTCTATATTTACACTCCAACCTTGACCTTTTACACCCATTAGCTCCCGAGGGTGTGATTATGAGCAAGGTATGGCAAGAGTTAGATGAAAAGATTGACCTTTCTAACACCTTTCACTTTGTTACTTTATTGTACGGTATGTAGTTTAATGGAGTCAGTTGTGACATTGTTGTTAATAACCATAAAACATTATTTGGTATAATAGTGGAGTAACACAGCCACACCAGTGGATTCGGAGACTCTGTGCATTTCAGTAATTTAGAACAAAGATATATGTGTCTAATGTCTCATATAATTATGGCTAAAGCCTAAAACAAAGGGACTGAATGAGCTCATGGTCTGAATTCCCTTTTTTTTTGGATCAGCTAATGTAAAAAAACAATGAGAATGAAGATGGAAAAAACTAAAGCAATTTAATTTAAAAGCATTGTGACCTCAAAACATTGTAGCGTGATTTCTATTTAATTAAAATTTCAACGTTTTAACATAACATAAAATTTTTACATTAGAAATACGACCTTTTGAAAAGGAGGCTGTATACTTAAAGTGGCAGTGTGTGGTTTCCTGGCACTAGTGGACAGTACATACATTTCAGGGTAGTTTTACACCACGGCGACGTTATTGGCGCTAGTTTTAAAAACATTACGGTAAATGTTGTTACCCGTGGAGCAGAGAGCATGCAATCATGGTGTAACTCCTCAGACTTTGATGGTCATTCAGTTAATGCCATCGAGAGAATGCAATGCCGATGATAGTCTTCTGGTGTTGTACTTTCTGGATCTGCTAGGGGTTCTGCACCTGCCGGTGACGTCATCATACTACGGCAATACCACTCACCCAAAACATACTGCATCTCTTTTTCAATTCTGTTCTTTCACATAATTCTAGAAAGAGTTCAGCAGTTTTGTTATTAAATGCATGTTTCTTAGTGCCTAAATGTTTTATAACATGGTAAAGTAACTTCCGTAAGTCGAACCTCCAGCCAATTGTCTAGTATGACGTCATTGACAGGCTCAGGACTATGAGCCAGAAGGAAACATTGCATCTAATACGGCATCCCCCAAAGATGCTAGACCTGCGCCTAGTGTACTTTAGACCCAATTTTTATGGTTTCATGTTAAGAAGGCACCAATATTTTTCAACAATTGGACATCATTTTATTCGTTTTTAACATTTTATTTTATATTTCTAGATGTTACTGGTAAAAACTACACATTGTCTCTTTAATGATGCATTGATTGATTGCCATTTAAACAAAGGTTAATGGCTCATGTTTTATTTTCTCTCATTATCAAATGTATTCTTTCATTTTATTCCCTGCATTTATTAGACTTTTTTCTCTACTTTGAACCAGAGTTATGTGTGAAGCTGTCCCTGGTGCTGAAAACCCCTGTCACCGCTGTTGAAACAACTACTGTGTGTGTGTGTGTGTGTGTGTGTGTGTGTGTGTGTGTGTGTGTGTGTGTGTGTGTGTGTGTGTGTGTGTGTGTGTGTGTGTGTGTGTGTGTGTGTGTGTGTGTGTGTGTGTGTGAATCAAGTCCCATTAAACAGGCTGCACATAATTACATAAATTAATTTGCAGCATGGACCAGAGATGTGGATTTAGACATTAATGAAAGATTTGTGACTTGGAAAGAAAATAAACAACATCTCTTGATTCAAATTCAGATTCAAATTCTTGATTGTTCATTCAGCTTTCCACTAATAGTGAATGAATGTTTTTTTAGTGGGGAGATTTTTCCTTCAGCTTCAGGTTGGTTTTAGGCACTTTGGTTATTGCTGATTTAAATTCACTTTGCATTTCAATAACTCTTGTTTTCCTACTAAAATAATTCTACAGGACTAATTTTAAACGATGCTGCTCACTTCGATGAACTTGTGTTATTTGGGTTTGGGCACGCGCCTGTGTGAGTGCGCGCGTGCGAGTTGCGCTCTCCCTGAGTGTGACAGGCATTAAAATTGCCACCGAGGGAGCGCAGATCAGCAGCTCAGAACTTATGCCCACCATTCCGGTGCGCAAAGACCCCAAAGAGAAGCCTCACCACCTCCAGAAAGCTCTGAGACCGAGGTGACGACACATGAAGTGTTCTTTGGCGGCTGGACTTTCTGCTTTGACTTTTAACGTCGCTGTGAGGATTTTTTCCCCCCAGTAGATCGTCGTGTTTTCAGCTCTGATGCAACCATGAAGAAGACGATGTGGATACTTTACAGCACCGCGCGTTCCATTTCTGTTTTTCCAACTTGGAATCTGTGTTTTTTTAAATCCGCGGCGCTGTGCTGTTTGCTGTTTTTGCCCGTCCGGACGGATGACGCCTGCCCGTCGTCTTGTGAGTGTGCCACGGGAACGGGGACGGTGACGTGCGTTTCCGATTTGGAGGACACCGACGTACCGGGAGACATTCCGACATGGACGACCAAGCTGATCCTGAAAGGGAGAAATATCTCAACTTTACCACAAGGTGCGTTCACTGTCAACGGCACCGACATGGGAATTGTGAGCCTCAGGCTGCCCCACAACAGGATCCGGGTTATTGAACCATACGCGTTTCTGGGACTTCCTCGTTTATCTTTAATTGACCTGAGCCACAATCAGCTGGAGTCTATCTCGGCTCGGGCTTTCCACGGATTACCGGAGCTGAGATCTCTTTTCCTAAATGTTTCTGTCTTGCCTTGCGCCACGGCGCAGCTCTCACATGCGCTCAGCGCGCAAAGTCTCCACAACCTCCAGAGACTCGAGTTGGCAGGAAACGGACTGACGTCCGTTCCTCTGGAAAGGTTAGACAAGTACAGCCTCAGCTACCTGGTGCTGGTTAACAACTCCATAGAGAACATAGAGAGAGAAACCATAACCAGCCTGTATGAGCAGAGACGCATGCACGTCTACCTGGCTTTGAACCCTTTTCGGTGCACCTGCGACCTGAAGGAGTTCTACTACTGGTTAAAGAACTCCTCCCAGTGCCTGGATGCTGGGAGGCTAATCTGCAGTGAGCCAGAGGACAGGAGGGGGACCCCAGTGGATAAACTCAGGGCGGAGGACATGGATTGTGTCACCGAGAACCTGGAGACGGTTTCGTATGTGTTTCTCTGTATAGTTCTTGCCCTGATCGGTGTGGTGTTCCTCATGGTTCTTTATCTCAATCGAAAAGGCATCAAGCGGTGGCTCAACAACATCCGAGAGGCTTGCCGGGACCATATGGAGGTGTACCATTACCGCTATGAGCAGGACACGGATCCCAGACTGGCCAACGTGGCTGTTTAATGTCTGGGTGGGTGGAACAGAAAGTTCGGGGAGTTTAATAAAAACTATTTTTAACACCCTTCAGAACTCCGAGCCAAAGACAATTAAACCAGAAACAAAAATATGTTGCACAACTCGAAACAGTATTCTACTGGCTGTAAATAACCATCTCCTCATATCATACCTACACTGTAAGAAATAGAATGTTGGGTTTCCTTAAACAAGTTGTGTCAACTGGTTCCAGTTTCTTAAGTGTAAAGGGTAATATAAATATTATTCATTACTTTAAGCAACTTGGTTTAGTTGAACCAGTAAACAACTTTATGTAAACTCAACTTTCTATTTCTTACAGTGTATTTAGCCTGCAGCTTGTCACATGTCCACTAGTATTATTTCCATTATTAACCAAGATACAATTATACAAACTAGCTTATGTAGGATGGGTTTTATTTTCATTCGTAAAGCTGAAATGAAGTGGTGGCTTTATGTTTTTCTTGGAAGCCGTGTTGCTGAAAGACTCAAGAGGACAGAAGTGATCTGCTTTTGAGATGATGCAAATAATGAGAGAGAAAGTTGGAGGGCCGTGTTGGTTAGTTAAAACAAACTGACAGATTTATTCAAGAACAAATTTATATAGATTTTATGAGACGTCAAGTTAGGAACCACAGATCATCTGAATCCAGGAGCATCCATAAAAAAGCAAATAGAAACAGATCTGGAATATGGGGCTAAAATTAAAGTTGAGAGCGGGTTGTTTGTGTTAGTAATGTTTGTGATTTTTTATTTTATTTTATTTTGTTTTATTGTACCTTTTAAGTGTTGAAAAACTAGATTTCCCTGAGAAAAGCTCAAATAAAAGAAACTTATTTTGAAGCACTAAAAAATACTAAACAACTGAGTGAATCTAATAATCGCTGATTTATTAATCACAGACTGAGGATTAACTTGTGAAGTGAATGAATTTTTTTGACAAAAAATACAGACGTCCAATTTTTGGAAAAAGATTTAAAAAAACATTTGTGAGATTTTAAGTAGTAAAAAAGCAGTTCAGACAAGAAAAAGATCAATGCCCTTTTGAAAACTAGACTAAAAACATGTTTTCCTATTAAAACCTAAATGTGCAGGTAACAAATAAGAAAAGGCAGATGTACCGATGAAACAATCACAGAAAACATGTTTATTTTACCGCGTTTTACAAAATAAGGTGAGAATTTTATGAGCTTGTGAGAGATCAAACAAAAATATAAAAGATCAAACAGAATGTCCACGTTAGTCTAGCTAAAAATAGACGTTTATTTTTATTAAAATTCCAGTCAGCTGAAGATTGAAACAGAACATTAAATGTGTCAGATACATGCAGCAAACTGGAGTGTGTCTTCATTTTTGCATCATTTTTGAAAGTATCTCAGTATGTCAGCAGCAGAGAGGAGTCACCTTTACATAACAGCTGATATCATTCTGCTGCTGGTTGGCGAGCTGCTGCAGCGTTCACTGTTATGTTGTGTGTGCAGGCTGAGGAGAGGAGACCTCATCACCAGGACAGTCATGTCAGGGAATAGAAGCATTAGTGATGCACATGCATGTCCCATCCAACAGATGCCAGAAGCTCTGCTAAGCGATAATGAGTCCAAATGGGATGCTTCGCAAATTATAATTTTCCCAGATAGGCTTCCGGAGAAACGACCTGAGAGTTTCTCAGTGGTTGCCCTGATGAGAGTTTAAAAAAAAAACTAATGGAAGTTGCATTAATGTTTCAATTACGACAGGATGCTTAGAATAGCCTTTTGTTAATAGAATGATATAATCTATATTATATCATATTATATCATATGATATAATATGATATAATATGATATAATATTATATTATTTATATTATATTATATTATATTATTGTCACGTTCAGATTAGGAGTAGGACCCAATATGCAGAGCACCAGACGACATGGGGCAGGAGTAACTGAAAAAAGGGTAGAATCCTTTATTTGGAAGTCTTTATCCAAAAAACGACAGACAGGAAGTCAAGTCAGGTATCCAGAAAACAGGAACAAGTTCAGGAGTCACAAAAACAGGCAGGGGTCTAAGATTTTACACGGGGGAACAAAACACGCATGACAACAACAATGGACCGACAAGAACAATGAGACAAGGAGGGCTTATATAGACAGGGAGGAGCAATTAGGGAAACAGGAAGCAGGTGTGTGGAGTGAGGCTGGAGGGAAGGCAGGTGACAACAATTATCTGGATGGGGAAGAGAACCAGTGGAGGGCAGAGAAACCTAACACAATATAAAACACAAAACTAAACCTAAAGACTAAGGGAAGGACTCACACATACACATACTGACACACACAAACTCATACACACATACAATGAACAGGGGAACAAGAGGCTGGAGCTACAACTTAAGACACACAACAGAGATGCAGACAAAGGACACATGAGGGCGCTAGGAGAACACAAAAGGAGAACCTGGAGTGGGAACTGGAGGAGCTGGGGAACAAAGGGACACAGAACATGACATATTATATTATATTATATTATATTATATTATATTCTATTATATTATATTATATTATATTATATTATACCATATTATATGATTATATTATATTTACTTAGATTTATAGTGTTTTTTTAAATAAATTAGAAAATAGGTTTGATCTTTTAAATTAGTAGTTTTCATTGGATTCTTTTAAAGTTATTATTTTTTCTCTAGCATTTTCATTATTCCCAAAATTGTCATTAGCCTCCTCAGGTATTATCTCCTCTCACTATTTTGGAGCTTTTCTATTTCAGAATCAATTGGCTAATGATCAATATATATATCAGTTATCATACCTGTATAAGTGTGTGTGTGTGTGTGTGTGTGTGTGTGTGTGTGTGTGTGTGTGTGTGTGTGTGTGTGTGTGTGTGAGAGAGAGAGAGAGAGAGAGACAGAGAGAGAGAGACAGAGAGAGAGAGAGAGAGAGAGACAGAGAGAGAAAGATTTTTAGCACCAAGCACAGCTCCTCCCACCGTAGCAATGTTGAAATGATAAATGGAAAACGACCCACACTTGTAAAGTACGTTTCTAAGTCAATCCGAAGTGCTTTACACTACAGTCATGCATTCACACACAGATGGTGATGAACCATATTGTTGCCACAGCTGCGCTGGGACACACTGATACAAGCTAGGGTGCAGTACACACCACTGGTCCCTCCAACCACCACCAGCAGGCAAGGAGGGTGAAGTGTCTTGCCCAAGGACAAGCAACTGACATAAGTACAGGAGCCTGGGTTTGAACCGACAACCTACGGTTTTCAGGGAAAACTCCTTACCCCATTGCTCGGTCGCCACCGAAAATGAACTTTTGATAATGACAGATGTGTAAATATAGCAGATAAATAAAAACTAATGTTTCAGGAGAAAAATACAAACTGTGGAATGAACTTTAAGTATCTGATAAAGTTTGAAGCATGTCCTGAAGTTCCAAGATTCATCAAATGTTCAGTTTAGACATTTTCTTACTTTGCGAAACTCAAAGTGAAAATTTGATTTAGCTTCAATTAGAAGGAAAATAATTGTTCCTGAAGCTTGTGTGAAAATATTTATTTGAAATTGATCTCTGCTGTAAAACCAAATGATTTCCTCTTTACTATGTAAAAACAACAAGACCTGCCTGTCAGAGTGTCTGTCTTTATCTCCTCTGTCATCCACATCTCTGTTTTTTGATATTTCACCACATAAAAAGAAGAGACAACCCAACTGATGTCTTTTTTTACATTCCTTTCTGTCTTTTTCATCACAAACTTGGAGATGTTCTTTCCTCTGCCCTCATCTGCTCACCTCCCTCTCTCCTCCTCTTTCAGGTAAATTACTTTATCCAGTTGAGTGACTCTTTAAGGACACGGGGACAAAGTTAAAGCTGAGTCCAGCAACGGGAACGAACAGAAGCAGAAAGATAAAGCAAGAGGGGAAGAAGAGAAAAAGATTCATTAGAGTTCTTCTTAGAGCACAAAATGTCCTTGTCTCATGCAAAGCAGTGACTCACCCTGCTGCTCTATCTATGAATGTCTGGGAGGCCGAATCACAAACTAGGGGAGACGTTTCAACTAAAGAAGAACATTCTTTTCCCTGTTCTGCTGCTTTCAGAGAATTTCATCTCGTCTGATTAAATTGCGTCATATCTGACTTCCTGTTTGATGCAGCCCACTGGTTGAACAGTTTTTGTGCGTGAATTGGTAAGAATGGAAGATCAACATTGTAGCCACACAGAACCAGATTTGCTGCCTGTCCAGATAAAACTGTCGTTTTGTGATGTGGAAATGAGGATGAAAAGTTGCTTCTTGTCTTTCCTGCTGTCTGAAGATAAGAAACAGGAGTTGATTTAGCAGAAGAAGACGGTTTGTAGCATCGCTGCAGGCAACAGCAAGGTTGAAAGTCTAATTTGTCCCATTCCAGTAACAATTTCCATAATGTCCAGCAGCAGAGTACTCACATTGGAAGTATAAAAATAATTTTTTTGCATTTTATTACCATCTGAGATTATTTTTCTGGAACACATTTAGCCTTTTTTCCATATTGCTTGAAATGGACTTCACATACCAAACAATAAATCACATGATTTGTCAAAAAAAATAAATTCTAAACATACAATCCTGGAAACACCTCAGTCCAAGGGCGTATTTAGCATGGTATGGAGGTGACGTGTCCCCATCAATATCCAGCAACGACCAGTGAGCCCCCACCAATAATTTGACCATCTCTGCTAAAAACCAACAAGCCATTCAACGTCTCGTTACCCTAGAGGTGCAGAAAGGGTTAAATGGTGTTCTCTCCTCGAGCACTAGTCTCAGCGAAGCAAATGGGAGGAGGTTCGGTTCAGTTTTGGAGTTGTCTCTGGAAATTCAGACGCTCTGCAGAGCTGTGTGTCTGCCACAAGCTGGTGTTGTACCAATTTCTGTAACTATCACATTCTGACTCTAGGGCAAGCCTGAAGACAGGGGTTGGACCTTTATCCATCCATCCAATTTGTTTCTGAGCCCGCTTGCCCGCATGGGGTCGCGTGGTGGTGGTGGTGGTGGTGGTGGTGGTGGTGGTGGTGGGGGGGGGGGGGGCTGATGCCTATCTCCAGCGGTCAATGAGCAATCAGGCGAGGTACACCCTGGACAGAGAGCCGGTCCATCGCAGGGCAACACAGAGACACAGGACAAACAATCATGCACACACACACACACACACACACACACACACACACACACACACACACACACACACACACACACACACACACACACACACACACACACACACACACACACACACACACACACACCTACGGACAATTTAGACAGACCAATCAACCTAACAGTCATGTTTTTGGACCGTGGGAGGAAGCCGGAGTAGCCGGAGAGAGCCCACCCATGCACAGGGAGAACATGCAAACTCCATGCAGAAAGATCCTAGGCTGGGAAGCGAACCCAGGACCTTCTTGCTGCAAGGCAACAGCTCTAACCACTGCGCCACTGCGCAGCCCCTGGTTGGACCTTTATGATGTTTTTTTTTTTCTATTCAAAATGTTGATTGCTTAAACTACATTTTCCAAGAATGAATATGGCACCTTAAAGTGACAATGTCTAAATACACTGAGCTAATAGGGTTAATTTTCTGCCTTTATCAGTTGCCTGGACACAATTAAAGGGATACTTTGCAGTTTTTGCAGACTTTTAAATCATTTTCTTAAGCCAGTATGTGCTAAAATGACCCTTTTACTCAACGTGTCAGACACAAGGCCCGTGGGCCAGATGTGGCTTGCCACATAATTTTATCTGGCCTGCGAGAGATTCAAGTGTTTTAAAATAGGTCTATGCTGCTTCAAAGCGCATATTGACTGTAAACTACATTTCCCATAATGCAGGGCGATTGTGTTACCAGTGCAGTGACTCGCCACTAGATCGCAGAATATCCACTTCCATGTTAATTAATGCAACAAGTGAAAATAACCCTACACATCATCCCAAAATGTCCAAGAAGAGAAAGATTGATGCAGAAGGAAGAGTGTTTAAACAAAGATGGAACATGTTGATGCTTCAAGGAGAAAAACTGGTAATTCCAGTCATTAGCATCCATGCTAATCCAGTCTCCGTCCAGCAGACGAGCTCACATCACTCCAGTTTTACAGTCCCTCCACTGGCTTCCGGTAGAATATAGAATACAGTTTAAAGTTTTAGTCCTGACCTCTTAACAACCAGGCTCCAAGCTACCTATCTGAGCTTTTATCCCCACACACCACCTCTCAGAACCTTAGATCCACATCTGAAAACCTCCTGGCTGTTCCTCGAACCAGACTGAAAACCAAAGGGGACAGGGCCTTTCAGACTATTGCACCCAGACTTTGGAACAGTCTACCTTCTAATCTCCGTCTCTCTAACACTGTAGAGGTCTTTAAAAATCGTCTAAAAACTCACCCTTTCATCCAGGCGTTCCCTCCCTAAATGTTTCAAAAAGATGGCTTTGTTCGGGTTCACACCTTCACTTTGTTTATACTCATGATTTTATTTTCTACGTTTATCACTGCTATTGTTTTTCTGATGTTTTTATTGGTTAGAGGTATTTGCCCTGATCTTTATCATGTTGTACAGCGCTTTGTGATTTATATCTGTGAAAGGTGCTGTATAAATAAACTTTTACTTACTTACTTACTTACATGCTACTAGCATCAGCATCTGCAGCATTACCTCTTCTACCTTGGACAAACTGAAAACACTCCTCTTATTCAGCACCGAGTTTACTCAGCAATTAGCTGACTTTTAAGCCCAGAAATGGATTT